GAGAAATTTTGCCTTCGTTTGTTTCAGGATTGGTCCGTCGGTAATCGCCGGCATGGCAAATGGCCATGCACTAAAAAGCGAACATGGTGAAGCATGGAAATTAAACGAGGTAAACAAACTCAATGCACAGTTGCTTCGCTCCATTAATGCTTCAGGTCGGGTCTTCGTGACTCATGCCGTGGTCGGAGGAGTTTATGTCTTACGGTTCGCCGGCGGGGCGACTTTGGTGAGAGAGAGGCACGTGATCATGGCTTGGAAGGTGGTGCAAGAACATGCGAATTCTCTCTTAAGCATGTCGGGGTGCAACACTCCTCATGATTGATCCCCTGCAACGCCCAAAATAAGCTGCACAATCCTTTACAAGTGTGTCGCTCAAAACTTTAGGCAACACTTCTCAAGGGATTATGCGGCCGTCGAGAAGTGTGGCCTTTCCAAGATGTCATGGTCGGCAACTAAATGAATAAATTGCTTTGTATTGTTGTTGAGGATGAAAAGTCCAAGAAAATGTAAGTTGGTTAAGATGAGCTTTAAGCTTGTTTGTTGTTGGCAAGTTAGATTGTCACACATAATTATCCAATGAACCGATCTTGATGAGACACCACTATAATATTATTTCATTAAAGCATGCAACTGTGTTAACTACTATCTAAAAAGTTGGACATGCAATATTGATCACTAAAACAGCATGGGTGGCATTTGTCACTTTCTTTCACCACTTTTCATCATTATAATAAGCAACACATGTAACAAATTTTAGTGTGGCATGGTATCGTCCATTGCCAAAAGTTTATGGCCTTCAATCAACTGGAGAAGGAACAACTAAGCACGACTTACCACAATGCCGTTCCTTTTATTTTTATTTTTATCTAGTCTTACAGTTATTAATTTGTATGTAAAAACAGAAAGACACAGGGCACTTAGCATTAACAAATTAATGATTTGAATCTTTTTTCGAAACAATTTTATTCACATGTTCTTCTTTTCTTTTGTTACAGGCTATAAAACAATATTTTTGTCACTTGCCAAAAATCAATCTAGAAATAACGCTTTCAAAAAAATTATGCCCAAAGTCATTATAAAATGCTTCAAACGGAGACATCGACCGTTGATACATTTTTCCTATGCAGAGTTTAGACGTCGTCTTTTTCTTATTACATTTTTTTATATTCTTCCAACATTTAAGTTCAGCTTTATTTATCTTATACGTAATTAGATTATCATATTGCATAAACAAATAAATCAAAAAGTAAAAAAAATCATTTCAATGCGATTAGGTGTTTTCTCCCATTTCATGATAAGATTAGTTTAATTTATATTGCATCTTTGACCATATAGATTAGGAGATTGTCATTTATTAGACTAGTGAACGTTAATTTTTATGTATAGCTCACGGGGTTCATGTCATACCATTATAACAACAAGGCCTTGGATTAACTTGGTCCAATATGGCTTGGGCTATTTATTTATTTTTTGTGTGTGTTTTCTTTATCTATTTTTATTATTGATTGTTTCATTTATTGTTTGAGCTCTTAAGCATGGCAATATATAATTACATGTTTAGGAATAAAGCTAGAAAAAGATTAGATGAAATAACATTCTATTAAAAGAGAAAAGGCACTAGTAGTAGGCATTAAGCAAAACTAAAAATCACCAAACTCAAAATCTTTTGCTTGCATAAGTAAGGTGGGCTCTCACACCTTACTCGGCTCTCGACTGGCCTATAATGTGTTAGTGGCGATTAAAATTTAAACTCGATACATAATGAATGAGAAATCAAGTCGCAGTTGGTAGGGTTGAGGGAGTTTGTGCTAAGTGTAATCGCTGCCTTGCAAGAGGATTACATGGGCTCCCTTAGCACTCTGTTAAACTCTCTCAAAATTCGCCTCAAGAGGGTTGTGACAAGACACCATGAGGAATACCGTACGAGACAGAGGATCCATGGCTTGTTTGAAAAACAAGCCATGTGAGTGCCACCATAGGATTCAGGTACTAACGGTCTAGATAGAATCGGTTTAAATGATTTAAGGATGGCACAATATTTTATTTGTTATCTCTATTAGTAGGTTGTTATCATGAGTTGCGCTCATTAACCAAAATTGAAAGCCCCTAGCTAGGTTGGAGATGATTAATTGGACATACACCCAACCAATGGGAGAATTAAGATCTAAACCTATTGCACTTATGTCAATTCAGTCATAAATATTTTAATTGTACCAATTGAGTCTTAAACTTATTCACGTTTTGCCAATTGAGTCTATTTGGCTAATTTTGGCCAGAAATCGCTAACATGGACATCGACTGTCTTACGTTGCACGGCCTGTGCTGACATGAACATTTTTTAATAATAATTTTTTCAATTTTTTGAATTTTTTTTTCTTTACTCCCTCACCGGCCAAAGGGAGGGTGCGCAACCCCTCGCCTAGATCTAGAGTGGGCTACGATGCCTTCACCGGCCCCGGGCAAAGGCGTCGAGGCTCTCGCCAATCTTCAGCCAAAATTAGCCGGATGAATTCAATTGACAAAACGTAAAAATATTTATTTAGAAAGCCATTAGCAATAGACTTTAGGCCTATTAAAGTCCTTTGGATTCCTATTACAATAATACGAGAACATTAAATTTCATTAAAGATAATCAACTCACAAGCTCACCTCAAACCTCAATCAACAAGTCCATTTGATATTTGTGCAAACAAAGGGAGATTTCGGCCATAATTTGTTCCAATGGGTCCAATGAGGAGAAGCGGTCCAAGATGGAATTTCTAGAAGTTAAAGAATAATGATTGATTCGACTCGGTCAATGAAAGATGTTTGTTTCCTAGTTTAAGCAGATTTCCTAATTTGAATATGTTCTTAGTTTCAGTAAATTTCTTAATTTGAGAAGGTTTTTAGTTTGAGTTGGTTTCCTCAGAGAGGTTGTCTACTTTAATGCTTCCTAGTAAGTCTATAAATAGTAGATGCATTATCAATTGTAAGAATTCAGATTAAGTTGATGATATATGAGGTTATTTATTAGAATTCTCTATTTTATTTTTTTATAAGAAGGAAGGATGAATTAGGTTTTTTAAAGAAGATACTACCCTGATGGGATTCCTACAAATGCTTGAGGCTGCGAAGGGTAAAAAGGTTAAAAAAAAAGATGGTCATATTTGTCCCAACGACAAAGGCGGTGCGTTCTTTGTCCCTCGCGAAAGTTTGGACTATAATTATCTAGATGCCTTTTATTGGGAAAGCCCGTTCTATCAATCAAATCTTGTTTGAATGGTCTCTTCCTTATCACTATCGTATAAACAATCTACATTGCCTATTGTCCCATCGTCATCGATGATGAATTCACCAAGCTATGGCCGATCAACCTCCACGACCCAACTTCAAACTAAGTCTATTTCACGAATTATTATTGTATCTCATGATTATTGTGCTATACAGAGCCCACAAGGTATAAGGCCTAATGGAGGATGCCCAATTTTAAGGGGAAAATGACACAAATGGTCTCTAAATTATGGCTTAATGTGCGACGTGGTCCATGAACTTTTAATTTATTCAATATGATCCCTAAATTTTAACCCAATGTTCAATGTCGTCCCTAAACTTTTAATTTTGTTCTATATGATTAAGTTCAATATGGTCGTTGAACTTGAATTAATGGAAGGACAATATTGAAATTTTTTCATATTGTTCAGAGACTAAATTGAATATGTACTAAAAGTTTATGGACCACATTAAACAAATTAAAAGTTCAAGGATCACATTGCACATTGGACTAAAGTTTAGGGATCACATTGAACAAATTGAAAGTTCAAAGATCACATTGCATATTTGGCTAAAGTTTAGGGACTATTTGTGTTATTCTCTCAATAAACAAGTGGTGGACTACAAAGATTGGCAACTTTCTCGCAGCAGGAGGTTCGGGGCATTGAAGTTGTGGGGTTGTGCTAAGAAGCCATGGAGAACACTACCTGAGAAATCACATAAGGAACCACTGTGGATTGGCAAAGTCTTTCGGGGAGCTCGTGGAGGAAGATGGCCGATTTGAAATTGCTTTCCCAATATATTTCGCAATGATCTGTTTCAGGATTCGTCCTTCTGCAGTAATCCATGACATGACAAATGGTCATGCACTCGAAAATGGACACGGTGAAGTGTGGAAAGCAGAAGAGGTGAACAGGATTGATGCACTGTTGCTTCAAGCTATTAATGCTTCAGGTTGGGCCTTCGTGACTCATGCAGTGGTCGGAGGCGTCTATGCGATGTGTCGGGGGTGCGCTGGCTAGAGAGAGGCACGTAGTCATGGTGTGGAAGGTGCTGCAAGAACATGCAAACTCTGTGCTAGCGTCGGTGAAGCATGCGAAGGTATGAGAAATATTGCTTAGATCCCATTATTCCATTTTGTCTGTGTGATGTTTGCGTCTCTTTTTAGCATTGTAACCTAGTCATTTATCCTTGGCAGGGGAAAATATAATCCACTATCGCTGTTATTAAAGAAATGTTGAGGCATTCTTATGAAAACAAAGATATTTTGAAGACCTAAACAAAACATTTCGGTTCTAAATTTACACCTATTAACTCTAAGACTAAGCAACAACTATGTGAAAGAACAAAACATTTGTAACACCAAATATCAAACAAGAAATAGAAAGAAATATAATCCCCTCAAGTTTCACTAAAAAGAAAAAGTCAGAAGTCTTATGAATGACCAACATAATGAACCTAGAACATATTCAGAGAAAAAATGTTCTAGCCAAATACGATAAGTATCAATTTGATTGGGACAGAAAAGAGCGTGAACAGCTCTGTTGTATATTAACCAATCAAAAACTCAATTATGGAATGTATATTGCCAGGTCAAGCATCATTTCCTCAATATAACCCTGCTGGTACTACAGAAGCTATGTACCGAGTTTATTTCAGATTTGCTGCAGTGTTTCTTTACCACAACTTGTTAAATGAGTAAAAAGGGAGATAAGATAAAGCTAACTGCAACTTGCTTTTTGTGCATCAAATTTAGTTCATCAAGTGAGGATCATATTAGTTTTGTTGAATAGGTAAGACTTGTCCAAATGATGATTCTGAAATTTACCAATACTCCTTACAAGAACAAGCCCCACCCCTAAAATGATGAAATCGACTACGATCCCTCACAACAATCTCCCTATCGTAAATCTTCGAAACCAGTTTGATTGCCAAATGACAATCTGCACATATCCTCAAATTCTTCACAACCCTAATAGGAGTACCTGGTCCAGTGTTGATGAGCATGAATGCCACTGCAATCTTCTCGCTGTGATAAGACAAAGCATTCTCCTTTTCCTCCTCCTCTATATCTGCAAACACGTTTACAGTGTGAGGGACGTAACCTTCCAATTTTAACAACTTTGTGATTTCTGCTAGCTTCAAATATATTGCCTCACTCTGAGGATGAGATTTATCGCCCATAGTAAATTCATGAACGTTATTGCCCAACTCAACAAGGCTATGCCCAGGAGCTTTCCTAACTCCTTCATTTGACATTTCCTTCCTCACTTTTTGCACATCCGACCAACGACGCTCCAAAGCATAAAGGTTTGAGAGCAGCACATAGTCCCCACTATGTTTAGGCTCTAACTGCAAGATTTCGGCTCTTGCAGCCTCTGCCAAAGCCAAATGCCCATGTATTGTGCATGCAGCCAATAAGATCCTCCAAATTACTGCATTGGGTCGCAACTCCATATCCCGTATGAATTTGCGTGCTCGCTCCACCAAACCTGCCCGACCCAATAAATCAACCATGCAACCATAGTGTTCAATCCGAGGCACAATATGGAACTCCTCTTTCATCCGACGGAAGTATTGAAAACCCTTGTCAACCAACCCACAGTGGCTACAAGCATACAAAACTCCGACAAAAGTAATCTCTGTCGGAACCAATCCCTCTCTTTCCACTTCACTGAAAAGCTCAAGTGCTTCTTTACCAAATCCATTAACTGCCAACCCAACAATTAAACATGTCCATGATACCACATTCTTCTCGCACATCTCATTGAACAATCTCTGGGCCTCCCTTATGCTGCCACACTTTGCATAGAGGTCCAAAAGGGTGTTATTAACATGCAAATTCTTAGTCAGACCTACCTTTGTCATATACACATGTATCCTCTGGCCCAATGCCAAAGCCCCAAGCTCAGCACAAGCAGTGATCAAGCCAACCATGGTAAAACCATCCGGCTCAATGAACTCCAGCTCCATATCTCTGAAAAGTGTCAAAGCCTCATTAGGTCTCCCATTTAGCGCAAACCCTTTAATCACAGTATTCCAAGCCACAAGATCTCTTTCAGGCATTAATACAAACAGCCTGTACGCGCTCTCCGAATCACCACACGAAGCATACATATGAACCAAAGTGTTCTGGACATAGATCAACGACTGGAACCCATCTTTTATGCAATGAGAATGTACCTGCTCGCCTTCCTTCACGTCCGTTGACTTAGCAATGGCTTTCAGAAGAAACGGGTAAGTGTGCGTGTCTGGTTGGACACCAGACGCGCGCATCCTGCGGTACAACTGGGTCGCCGGCCTCGGATCCTCGCTCTCAGCGAAGCCTCTGATCATGGTGTTCCAAGCGAAGATACTTGGGCACCGAATTTGATCAAACACCTGGTGGGCATAGCCCATGGGCCCAGAGGCGCACACGATCTTGAGGACGAGGTGCTTCCCGAGGTCTGGGTCGGCGAGCGGAGCACCCTGTCGGACGCAGAACGCGTGTATCTGCTTCACCTCGCGTAGGGAGGGGGCGCGGGACTGAAACAGCGCGATGCATTGGTCCGTGATGGAAGGCTTGGGAGTCTCCGGACACGGCGGCGAGGTGGTCGTCGAGGAACAGTGGGGCCTGGTTGGTGGGTGGGAACGTGCCGCTGGCGATGAAGAGAATGCAGAAGAGAAGAGGCTCGAGGACGAGGGACGCTTAGAGAGCATGAGATCATGCTCGTCGCATCGGCGACGACCGAGCAAGTTGCTACTGTACGCTCTTTAGTTTCTGTCTGAGCTCTCGTCGATGACTTGCCAAAGGCCCGTGGCATGCACGGGATCTTCCGTTTTGTTGCAAGCTCTTTATCATGGGAAATTCTTGCCCGAATGCATGACCGATCCATCACAACCGATGGTTATGTGCAACTCCATATAAGTTTTCACGGCCCATGATTAATAATTAGGGATAGTTATAAAAATGGTCCATGAACTTTGACTTAATGTATAATGTTGTCCATGAACTTTGAATTTGTTCAATATGGTCCCTAAACTATATCGTCTTTAAATTTTTAATTTGTTCAATATGGTCCCTGAATTTTTGGTATATTTTCAATCTAATCTCTTAACTAAATGAAAATGTTCAATGTTGTCTTTGAACTTGAATTAATAGAATTGGACAATATTGACCATTTTCATATAGCTCAAGAACTAGATTGAACATGTACTAAAAGTTCATAGGCCACATCAAACAAATTAACAGTTGAGGGACAATATTGCACATTTGGTTAAAGTTTAGAGAATACGTTGAAAAAATTAAAAGTTTATGAATAATATTGCACATTATGTCAAAGTTCAGGACCATTTGAGACATTTTCCTCGGAGGTTATGACAAAAGCGATTCACTGAATCCAAATATACATTTCTTGTTAAATTTCTCATAAAATAAATGATTGTTATATTTCTGTCATTCCAAAGTTTCCATGACATCTTGAGTGCATTCCAAGATTATTTTAAAATTTATTTTGTAGAACATAAGATGGTAACTCTAGATTTATGTGTAATTTTAAATGAATATCCTATATCTATATATATTAAAGTAAATAGGCGAGCAATATTGTTTGGGTGATGTGGCTTAGTACGCTATTTTTTTCATGTTTTTTTTTTTTATATTTTGGTTGAGAGCTCGTAGGTGAGTTCTTTTTATAGTTTCAGTCTAGTCTTTTCTTTTTGATATGAGAGATAGTGAGTGATTTTTGAAGCTTTTTTCTTTTGTCAATTTCGATCAAAAGTTGATTCTAACAAACATTCTTCAAGACTAATGTATCCTTGAATGTCTTTGCACCCAAATGCTCAAATAATTGGTCGTGATTTGTTTTCAACATAATTTGAAAAACATAATTGTGTGGCACTCTCATTTCTTATTTGGATAAATTCATGTATGACATCTTAGAATTGATTTAATTTAACCAAAAATGACAGTATATACGTGATATATGATTATAATACAAAAAAAATGATTCTTTTAAATCGATGTAAAGTTTTGTCATTCAAAAATAAAAGAAAAACATTTCACGGGAAATTTTATTTTTTGGATAGGAAGTTCGAAATTAAAGGTTTGATAAATCATTCATTATTCTGAAAGAAAAGGAATTACTCCCTTACTACGAGCATCGTGGTCAATCAAGTAACGACCAATTTAATCCTTATCTACGCTTATAGTCAGTGAATCTATTGTAGATTAAAGATGTGGACTCTTCTGGATATATCTAATCTTACCTAGTAAAATATTAGAATTATCTTTGATAATTTGAATGACGGGAGTTCATGAAACGCCATTGCTCTCCAATACTCATATCTTAAAAATCCCTAAAAAAAACAGTTGATAAGGAAAAATTCAATCAATTGTATACCTAATTCTCTCAATTGTGAAATGATACAAGTGATGAAGATGTGTTCAAGTGGTCCAAGCATATCCATTTACAATTGCTTTATTTTGGTTGATTTTCAAATTATTTCAGAGTGATATTGTATTGAGTAAAATAACTAATGCTGAGCTTAACAAGAAAAAACAATATGGTCCTTCATTGTTTATCCATTATATAAACATATATTCACACGTGTTTATATATATATATATATATATCTATATATTACGTGCATTATAGAGATGTTAGAATTTATTATTTTATTTGTTGTCTCTTGCCATGTCCAGTTAGGTTCGGTCTGGTTTTGGGCAGCTCCCGTAAGAACCGGTCTAACTCCTAGTTCCAAAGTTTAGGGAACCGACATTATTTGGTCCGGTTCATGATTCTAAGGTGGAACTACACCAAACCGGTATTGTTCAACACTTTAATTTTTCTCTTTTTTAACAAACACCCCCGAATATGCTATAATAACCCACAAACTATATGAAACTCCCATCAGTCGATGTGGATCTTACAATTGGGCTCTATTTTGTCTTAAAAGATATGTCTTCTTCCTTACCAATCTATTTTGATTTTCTTGTTTCTTTCTATTTTGGTATTTGGCTCGTCATTTATTAGCTATCGAATTTATAAGCTTTTTTGTTCAAATCGGTGATTTTGTCAAACAGTTGGGTGAGAAATGTTAATGTGGCATTCCATCAATGCTAACTAGGCTAAATTTCAACATAGAATAGAAAAGAAGAAATTACAAACCAAAGGATCACCCATCCTGTGGAAAAAATATTCACTAGTATCATACTGCCACGTCATTGTCTTACGTGGTGTATCTGTTCCATTAAAAAAGTAACACATGTCAAGTGACGCGGAAAAAAAATGAAAACTTGGAAGTTTTCATATGCGTGCGCTCTCTTTCTCTTTTCCTTTCCAGCGTCTTCTCCCCCACCCTCTCTCTTTCTTTATTTCAAAATTTCAGGCCTCACGCTTCACACCTCCCTCTCTCCGTCTCGCAAAATCTAAGGATCATCTCTGGATGACCATCGCCGAACGCGCCGCTAGTAAACGACGGAGGCTTGGTGGAGCAGAGTCGGGGTGGGAGGGCTGATGGCACGAGCTTCCCTTTGAAGAAAAGGTCGTCGGAGAGAGAGACAGACGCGAGTCGTGGTTTTAGCCGAATGACCCAGAAGAGAGGTGAAGTCGAACTCCCTGTCGACGTCGTCGCCATCCTTGACGCCTCGGCTGGCCCTTGCCAAGACCCAGACCCAACCTGCTTTACACCTTCAGGGCTGGCTACTTGCCCCTTTAGGACCCGTCGCCCAACTGGAGCAAGTAGCCAGCCGAGCTTCGAAAACGAGCTTCCAAAACAGTTGCGCTGTCACCAACTCATTTCTCACTTTGAAGCAAGAGATTTGATCAGCTGAGAGAGAGAGAGAGAGAGAGAGAGAGAGAGAGAGAGAGAGAGAGAGAGAGAGAGAGAGAGAGAGCTAGGGTCTTCCGCACCTCCTCCTCCTTCGTCGGCCCAAACACAGGTCCCTCTGTCGCCGGACCCCGATAAGCCTGCCTTCTGATCATCCTTCGAATTCCGCCGTTCTCGCGAAAGTGTCTGTCTGGCTGAACACTCCTTGTCAATTTCGAGAGTCGATCGTTCTCTCGAGTCGAGCCCTTCATTTGTAGGGTGGCAAGGTTGATGTTTCTTCATCTTCCTCGCCTGTGTTGATTCCAGTGAAATGCCGGACGGAAGGAAAATGTGATGCGATGTGACGTGACATGATGTGACGTAATAGTGTCAGATTGGGAGAAAATTTGCTCGTGACGGAGCTCTTGAGTGTGTGAAAAACCTAATTTGTTGAGCGCTGAAGCTGCTTGCTTTTAATCCGGTTGGCTAATTCTCACTGCCTTTGGCTTGGTGGTTTTGTGTTGAGTCTTGTGGAACTGTGCTTGTAGACGGGGGATGGGAAAAGTTATTCAAGAAGTCGGCTAAGGTGGCGGTGCATTGGGATTTGCCATTATTCTAACTATGTATTGTTCTGTCAATGCATCGCGAAAGGATTTCAACTAAATTTACACTACCTTGAAGGCTGCTTGATGTAAAAGAAAAAAAAAAGAAATTATGTGAATATACAGATTGTAGATTGTCTCGAAGTGAGGTATTTGTAATAGAAAGTAAATCTTCATCTTGTTTCGATTATCTTTTAAGCAAGCAAGTGGAATTTAATTCATTTTCACTTGTCTGTGTAAAAGCAACTCGTTCCATAATACTTTGGGCCACTAGGAGTCTGCATTTCCATAGATGTATGAAGGTGGAGAAATTATCAATACATAGTAATTATCCATACAGTGGCATTCTTGTGCTTGATTTAGGGAGTACCGAACAATACTGGATGAGGCTGGATGCTGCTAAAGTCATTGCTCAAGTTTTGTTCACAGCTTTTTATATATAGAGTACTATTTAGTGGCATGTCCCTGCTTTTAATTTGCCTCTTGTAGTGATTAGTTTGCGCATTCCGATATGTCATTTGCAGTTATCATGGTGGATATGGTGCAATAGTGGTTTGACTATATGCAATTCTAGAGTAAATCACGACGACAACTGCCTTCATCATACTGATATTATACTAACTCATATATTGTTTGTGGATTTGTATGAACAAATCCTACGACAACCCCTCCTTTTGTAACTCTTACACAAAATCAGTTCTTCTTGGTGAGGCAAAATTCTGTGTTGATCCTATAACACTGGAAAAACAATTGGTGCATCATTTCAAACTTTAGGATGAATAAGTGTACAACGGCATTTCAGGGGGTGTTATTATTAATTCCTTCTGTAGTTGTGTAAAAGTACTGATCTTCTTACTCTTGAATCTAATCCTTTTTTTAGATTTTTTTAATTCCTTAGTTTGACATATGACTTGTTCCGATGAAGTTGGTTTGGGAAGGTCTTCGGCTTGGAGGAGAGCTTGCAGTTGGGAGCTGGAGCAAGTATTCACTCATGCTTTAACTGATATTATAAGAAATTAGCCTTTCTTTGGCAATATCATTTCTAGGCTATTTGTATGACTTTGTGATTGAATTCAACACTTTGTAGATGTGTTTTCTCCCATTTGAAAGACTATTGGGGAAGCAATATAACTTCTATGTTTCTTTACAAAAGATATTTACCTTCGTCGTAGATGTGAAATGCTGAGTACAAGAAACTGAGACAGCACATGTGCTCATGACTGTAAATATTAGTCCTTTATTGCTCAAGACCATGGAATTATATATTTGCCTCTGATACTGTATCAGGGATGTTGCTAAGAAGAAAGTCTTGCTTGGGATACGTGGCGGACATTACGCGACTTGGCATATGTACGTTGTCCAATAAGATGTCTTTTAACTTTTTAATCCTCCTTAATGCTACAAGTCTTTTCGTGTGGTTGATATCCATGAATATGCTACCTGTTCTGATTAGAGATATGTACATAAGAAA